AACAGCACCTGGTGGTCAGGTGGCCCGTGCCTCTGCATAGGGTGAGCCGAGCTTGTGGCCCTGACAATCTTACACCCCAGTGAGGAGTTAGGGAAAACTTAAACTGGTGATGCAGGTTGTTACTCAGGAGCAGGGGTTCTCGACCCAAAGGTTGAGACTCATCTGGGAGTCGAACGACCCCAACGACCTTTTCACGGGGGTCGCCTAAGACCATTAGAAAACACAGATATTTACATTACAATTCGTAACAGTAGCAAAAAGTTAGTTATGAAGTAGCAACGAAAATAATTTGATGGTTGGGGGGGGGCGGTCACCACAACATGAGGAACTGTAGTAAAGGGTCGCAGCGTTAGGAAAGCAGGGGGCTGCTGGCTGCTGAGTCACTTGCCGGTCTGCAGTTTTGCACCTTGGATCTCGGCTTTCGCAATCCTCCGCAAACCCACGGTCCCACCCCCCTGGGTCAGCCAATGTCCTTGGCGAGGCCGAGAGCCAGAGGAAAAGGGCCAAAGGAGCTGCGCAAAGAAGCGTGGCCACCTAGCAGAGCTCAGTGTCCGGCCTGACACCCTCTTCGGGCCCATCCGTGTCCGGAGATTGCAGCAGGGAGCTGCGGAGCCAGCTCTGCAAATCTTCCTCTGACTGCGTCCAGCACCGCGATTTGGCCTTCCAGGGCTCCTCCTAGCGGCCAATATGGGAACTGGCGCTCAGAGACTCGACAGCACATAACGTTCCCCATTGCAATCCAATCACAGTCAACCGTAACTGCACCAATCAGAATGCAAGGTTAAAAAACCCAAACTGACCCTAAGGCCTTTTGTTCTGCATTTCCAACTTTCAGGAAAGTTCGGTGCCCAACCCCTGGTGCTAGCGTGCAGGCACCTTTGAGGAAGTCCCCAGGCTTTGTGCTGGCCTCAAATGGAAACCTTAATTTGCATTCATCCTCATTTACAATGGTATTCATAACGTTAAGTGCCACTCCCCCGTCATAAAAGTTAACATGGAGGCTGGAGAGACAGCTCAGTGCTTAAGAGTGCTTACTGTCCTTGCAGAGGACCCTAGTTGGGTTCCTAGGTGGCAGCTCACAACCTTCTGTATCTCTACTTCCATGGGATCCAATACCCTTCTGGCCTCCACAGCTCCTGCACACACATGGTACACATAAACTCACACAAACATACACATACACCACACATGTGCATGCTAATAATAAAATAAAAAGAAATAAAAGTTAACAGGAAGATATGAGTGAAAAATCACATCTGATTGTTAACTAGGATCGTACTGAACACAATGGAAGCTTTGTGCAATGGGATGGCTTGCTCCATTCCTACGTTCTTGCCGTGCCCTGGAGTGGGGGCGGATCCTCAGCCCCAGACTTGTTGCTTTCCCACACTTTTGTGAGTTCTGTCTTCCTCAACCTTCGTTCTCCTCCCTATTGTGTCTTCCTGGCATGTCAACTTGAAATGGCCGGTGTGCTCAGTTACGTGTGGATAATCTGCTTACATTTCTCCAGCCCCCATTGCGGAGACGCCCTCTGAATTCCTCATAGTACACCCCAAACCTTGAAGGGCTTCGAATGAAACAAAGAAAAGGCAGCTATGGAGATCTGATAGAGTTCTCTGAAGAGGTCTTTGAGAAGGAATTCAGGGGAATGCTCACGTGAGCTCACTGGGTAAAGGTGCTTGTCTCTCCGTCTGGTGACCTGAATTCAATCCCCAGGACCCATGTGCTGGAAGGAGAGGATCAATCCCTTCCCTTTGACCTCTACGTGATCACAGTAGAACACCTTCCCCAATACGTACATACGTATGTATGTATGTATGTATGTATGTATGTATGTATGTATATTAGTGTTTAAGGAAGAGAATGTCATTGGGTGCCCGGTACCTACTAGGCAATCAGTGAAAAGAATTCTATGCCCACAGTAGAATTTTTACAACGTGAAATAAACAATCTGAGAATCATGAATGATTTAGTTGAGTATGGTGGCAAATGCTTTAAAATTCCAGCACTTGGAAACTGGGGGCGGAGTTCAAGGCACTCCTTGGCTACACAGTGAGTTCAAGGGTAGCTTCGCACTATATGAGACCATGTTTTGTTTTGAAAAAGAAAAGAAGTTCTTCCAGGAACCAACGCCTTTCAGTGAACAAAGGCGCCTGCCGGGGCTCATGTCAGAAAGACAGAACCGACTCTCATTGGTTATTTCTGAGCCCCACACTGCCACACATGACCACATATATACACAGGCACACACCATAAATACATGAGATGAAGAGGTGGGGTACAGCAGATGCCCAGCAAGGGAAGGTGCCTGATGACCTCAGCTCCATCCCTGGTACCCACATGGTGGAAGGAGAGAAATCGTTTCCTGAACTGTTCTCTGACCTCCACATACACACTGAAGCCATGCATGTACACATGTGTGGGCATGCACAAATAAATTAATAAACTATTTTCTTAATTTGAAGGGACAAGGGCCAGTTGTCGTCCCCCCTCACCCCCAGCCAGGGGCCAGTTTGCTAAGACCTCTGCTCTATATTACCCCACCACCCTATGTTGACTCATATCTGGCTTCAATCGGACGCTCAGGAAGTGCATTCAGTCTGGTAGCCAATCAGGCTCCTACCCAGCCACAAGCAGGAACTGTTCTTGCTATTTTCACTCAGACAGACCCCGACACAGCAGACAGACCCCTGACCCTCAACCACATTTGCTGACCAGATGTCATGAACCAATCATAAAATGATTCCTGTATCAGAGGGTCTATACCCAGTCACTTCAAAGTACGCTTAACCACAGCTGGAATTCCCCTAAGCAGCCCCAAGAGGGGGCTGCCTTACCCTCCCCTGGGGTAGAAACTATTCCTGGCAGACCCCAGCATCCTGGTTTTTCTATCTCGAGAATAGAGCACTTTCTGCAATTGCATATTGGGTGTCTTCTGGTCATCTGGAGTGATCTAAGGACCCTACAATTTACAAATAAAAACAGTTCTTAAAAAGTTTGAAAGGGGAGGACCGCTCCTCCCGTGGTCTCTTGAGGACTGAAGCCTCGTGCTCCACAAGGCTCTCAGCTGTGGCTTGCTCTTTCCCTTCCTCCCCTTTCAGCTTCCTACTCTAGCTAGCTACCTGCTCTCCTGTCCTTTCAAAACAGAACAGAGCCAAAGCCTAGCCCCAGCCCGACTCCCTTCAGAACCTAAATAAAGGCTGGCCAGTTTCTGAAGAGACGGCACCCTCACTAACAGGTGTGGGGTATCTGCTTACGGAGGGGCTGCCAAGCTCACCCTCTCCCGTCCCTGGAAGCAGGGCCTTGAAGGCCACGTGCAGGACATTGGTGGGTAAGGACAGGCAAACTGAGAGTGCTGGACTAGTCTATTCCGAATCTATCCACGGCCATTCACATTGGTCTACTCTCCTTTCAGGCGGTGGTAGCTTCACACTGCTGTTCTGTTCCCTGAAGTAGGATGTGACTGTGACACTTGTCTCAGCCAGTGGGATGTGAGGAAAAGCAAGCTGTGCCAGCCCCAGTACGAAGCTTTGAGACTAAGAGCTTCTTTATGGAAACAAGGGTGAGTATAGAGTCACCGTGGTGAGGAGCGCCCCCTGCTGAACAAGGAGGGACATGCACTGTAAGAGAGCTAGAAACCAGCTAAGCAGAGCCAGGCTTGGGCGTTTCGTCTCATCAGTTGGGACAGGCTTCCTAAAAACATCACACGTTTCCCCAAGACCAGCATTGGTTCTGTCATCATCTCTAATGTTACCTACATACAAATTTTCTTGCACCAAGTCACTTCTTTTTACTTGGATTTGTTTTATAACCTTTTATTAATTTCTTTTTTAACTTTTTGAGGTAGGGCCTCACATAGCCCAAGCTGGCCTAGAACTCGCTGAGTAGCTGAGAGTGACTGTGAACTTCTGCTCCCACTGGTTCCACCTCCCTCGTGCCGGCATCACAGGACTGTGACCCTAAGGCCGGTTTTTATACAGTGTGGAGATGGGGTGCTCACACATGCTAGGCAAACACCCTACTGTTGGGCTACATCTCCAGCTCCTAGATTTATTTTCAAAGGAAATGTTATTCCCATCAAGTGAAAATCATCCCCTAAGTAGAAAGCAATGGAAAATAATCAGAATGAAATAAACCATTTTGTTACATCCTGACTTGAAATTATTTGCCTTTCAATGCCCCTGCGTCCTTGGTCTGTCTCCTCTTGGTTAAAAAAAGGAGGGTTCCCTATCACCCTGCAGAATAAAAACCCAGGGGAAATGGTTAGCAAGTGTGGAGCCAGCACCATGTCAAGGCTGAATAAACAAATTTGGGGCCTTGACTTCCTGGCCTTGAATGCATGCACTCTGCCGCTGCACTGGACCCCCAACCCTATGTCTGTTATCTTACTTGCAGATATTACAGGTAATGTGTAGACCCCTGGGCCATTGTGGGGATTACCAGCATTCATGTAGATAAAGGGCTAGAACTGTGTCTGGTGCACTGTGAGTGCTACAAAGCCGTTAGCTGTAAAACAAAGATAGTATAAAGATCCAGACTCCATCTGGCCACAGTGGCACACACCTGTGACTCCAGCACCAGGGTGGCGGAGGTAAGAGAATCAGGAGTTCAAAGCCAG